TTTGGTTCAGGAGAAAACAGTTTATGAGTAAGAGCATATTTCTTACATTCTAATTTTTGTTTGTTTTGGTTGTGGCAGGGTCTTCTTATGTAGCCCAAGCCAGCCTTGAACCTGCTACATATTCCAGCCCAGCCTCAAACTTGCAATCTTCCCACTTCAGCCTCCCAAGTGCTGGGATTACAGGTGTGTGCCACAATGCCCAGGTTTGCATTCCAATTTTAACTATGAGCAAAATACAGCTTTTTCTTATCTACCCTTGAACACAGAGTACCTCTGGCATTACTTTAAAACAAATGAGATAAGTTATCTGGAAACCAAATATGAGTTTTACTAAAAGTATGAACAGTCTACTAGTTCCCTTTAACCTTTGAGGTTAATGAAGTAGAAACTCTAAGACAAATATAGCAAAATAAGAAAATTCCTATTTTTATTTCCAAACAAAGCAAGAAAATAAAGGGAAAAAGGATAAGGTTTCTGCAGAGTTCACCTCATAAAGAGTACCACTAATGTGAATGAATAGAGAACATGATACATGCATCTTCTCTTGGTTCTCCACCTTCTTCTTTCCCAGCAGTCAATCATACTTCTGAAACTCCTTTTGATGTAACTGCTACCTTACAGACACTCCTTAGCCATATTTGAAGGAGTGCCATTAGGTAGGATTACCCAAGTATGTTATCCAACTTTCCATCACTATCATAAATTCCTGAAAAAAATCCACTTACAGAGAAAAAAGTATTATTCAGGCTCAGAGTTTTAAAGGTTTCAGCCCATGACTGGTTGGCCTTGTTGCTTTGAGCCTGTGGCACCACATAATGATGAGAGGTCATGGAAGATCAAAACCTCGCACAATGTGGTTGGGAAGTGAAACAGGAAGAAGGCTGGGATCTCATAATTACCTTCAAGAGCACATCCCCAATGACCTTAACACTTCCCACTATGCCCTACTTCTTTAAAGGTTCCAAAATCTCCCAACAGCACCAAGATGGGGACCAAGCCTTTAACACATGGAACATTCTAGATCAAAACTACAGCACAAAGAATATCTCTAGTCGTCCGAATCTTTCTCAAAATACAAAAAATTTTGTAATGATCACTAAGAAAGAAAAGATGCAAATGAGCTACAATATTAAGCACTGGTATTACCAAAAACCAAGATAAAGGAGGAAATAGAAAATAAATCACATAAATATTTTAACCAGATAAGTGAACCTTTAAAAGATTAAAAATGAAAATACACTAATAAAGACAAACAGGTACTAAACATTCAAAATGTTTGTTCTTGTTACTGATTTTAAAAATGAAAAATTTATAACAAGATATAAGTACATATCTAAAACTTTAAAAGGTTAATAGTATCTCCTCCCAAAAACGCAAGAAGGGCAATGAGGTAGGTATTTTCTCACTTTGTTTGTGAAATTTAAATTGGCACAGTAGTCTGAAATCAACTTGGCAATATACTGGATTACTAAAAATCTAAAATGGTCTTACTCTGTGACCTAATAATTCTTTTTTTTTTTTGACCTAATAATTCTTATAGGACTTGTACAAATAAATAATAAAATATGAAGAAATAGTGAATCATTATTTCACAATCAATATAATGAAGTGATAAAATTCATTACTTGCTTGGTTTAGTTTTGCTAAAACATAAATGAAGCAAAGAGGGGAGAAAAAAACCACCATGGCCTGCAACCAGTCAATCCACATTACTCCACTAACTAGTTCTGTCTCTCACAACTTCCTTCAGGCTTAACAAAGACATACTGCAGTACAACATCCTAAGAAAAGAAAAAGGAACATTGATATATCTAAGGGAGTTTTCTTTTTTCTTTCTTTTCCCCCTAGCACTAGGAATTGAACCCATGGCCTTGTGCATGCTAACAGGTACTCTACCACTGAGCTAGTTCGATCCCCGGCACCAAAAACAAAAACAAAAACAGAAGTAATCTTAGTCCTAAACTCTTTAAAGAATGCTTGAGGAAAGGGTAAATAAGGAGAAAAATAGAGGGCAGATTTTGGGAAGTAGGAAGAACTTGTTCAATTGGGAAGGGGAACAAGGGAGGGAGGAGGAAGGGAAGGAAGGAAAAAACGATTTTAAAAAAAGAGAATGGAAGAGAAAAAATGGAAACAAAGCTTTAGTAAATAAGGAGGGGAAGTAGAGTTGACAGGAGGAGAAAAAAAGAATTAAGATATATTATATACAGGTACAAATTCCCCATGATAAATATGATCACTATGTATGGCAGACATGTACTAATAAAAATAAATAGGGCCAGGGATTTAGCTCAGTGGTTCAGGAGCCTGCCTTGCAAGCGCAAGGTCCTGAGTTCGATCCTAGGGACCATAAATAAATAAATAAATAAATGCAATGGTAAGAAGAGGGAAAAAAGAATGCTTGAGGAAGTTCTAGACAGAACAATTAGGCAAGAAAAAAATAAATAAAGGCATACAAATTGGAAAGAAAGTAAAATCACTTCTGCTCACAGATAATATGATCTTTTATACAGTAAGCCCCAAAGATCTCATATATAAAAACTGTTGGAAATAATAACTGAATTCAGAAAGGAGCAGAATACAAAGCTAACACACAAAAATCCGTTGTCCTTCTATATGTAACGAGCAATATGAAAACAATTCTATTTAAAATAGCATCAAAAAGAATAAAATACTTCGTAGTTAACTTATCCAAGGAGGTAAGAGACTTCAATGAAAACTACAAAGCACTGCCCAAAGAAATTAAAGACATAAACTAAAACACATATGTTCATAGGTTGGAAGACAACAATACCACCCAAAGTTTCAATGCAGTCTCTCAAAATGAATACCATCCAAACCAAATCAATGCAATTTTTTTCAAAATCTCAATGATTTTTTTTTTTTATAAAAAGAAAACTCCATTCTAATATTCTTAAGGAAACTCAAGGGACCCTGAATAGCCAAAACAATCTTGAAATAGAACAAAGCTAGGAAACTCACATTCCTGATTTCAAAACTTAACTGCATACCTACAGTAATCAAAACAGTTCAGGGGCCAGGGATTTAGCTCAGTGGTTACGGCACCTGCCTCGCAAGTGTAAGGTTCCGAGTTCAATCCCCAGTACCAAAAAAGAAAAAAAACAGTTCAGTACTGACATAAAGACAGGCCAATAGATTAGATAGCCTAAAGGACGCCAAGATCATGCAAGGGGGAAAGGATAGTCTTCTCAACAGATGGTTTCGGGAAAACTGGACAGCCATACCCAGAAAAATAGTTGAACCCTTATCTAATGCCTATATACAAAATTAGCTCAAAATGGATCAGATGCAAATGTAAGACCTAAACTTATAAAAAACAAGACAAAAGCTTCGAAATGTGATTTGGCAATGATTTCCTGGATATGACACAAAGGCACAGGAAACAAGACAAAAAATGACTTCATGAAACATTGAACTTCATGAAAAATTTTCTTAATTTTGCATCAAAAGACATTACCAATAGATAATAAGGGCAACAGAATGGAAGTAAATATTTAGAAATCATACATCTGATAAGGAGTATATCCTGAATATACAAAGAACTCCTAAAATGCAACAACAAAAAACCCCAAACCATCCAGTTCAAACTGGGTCAAGGACTTGAACAGACATTTCACCAAAATTATACAAATGGTCAAAAAATACATGAAGCTGCTCAATACCACAATCATTACAGAAATATAAATCAAATACTTGATACTACCTCTTACACATAGGATGGCCACTATAGAAAGAAAGAGAAGGGAGAGAAGGAAGTGTTGGTAAGGATGTGTAAAAATTAGACCTTCTATAAATGTAAAATGGAAATATAAAATGGAACAGCAGCTGTGGAAAATACGATGATGATTTCTCAAAAAATTAAAATTGCCAGGTAGTATAGTAATTCCACCATACAGTAAGAAGTGAAAACAGGACCTCTAAGAGACACGTGTAAGTTCATGTTCCTACTAGAATCATCCACAGTAGTTACAAAGTGGAAGCAATTAAGGGTCCATTAACGATAAGCAAAACCTGGTTTAGAAGATGATACCACACAAACATGGAAGTAAACATCTGAAGCAACATATAAAAGAACTAAAGTTGTTGCCTCAAGGGAGTGAAACTGAGGAGTGGATAGTAGAGAGGAACAGAAACAGTAAAGCCAAGGCAGGAAGATCACAAATTTGAGCCCAGCCTGGGCAACTCAATGACTTAGCAAGAGCCTGTCTCTAAATTTAAAAAGGTCTAGGGATGTACCTCAGTGTGAATGCCAAGGTTCCAATCCCCAGTATTGCACAAAACAAAACAACACAAAAACAACCTGTTTTTTAAAAATGTGTTTTTACTGTGATTTATTCTTAAAGAGGAACAAAAGAAAAATCTGATACAGACTGCATGGAACCCTGAAAACACAACGTGAAATAAGCCAGTCACAAGAAGACAAATATTGCAATATTCCACTTATAGGAAGTACCTAAGAGTAGTCAAAACCATAGACTGAAAATAGTAGAATGGTTGGGACTAGGGTATAGCTCAGTGATAAAGTATGTACTGAGCATGCCCAATGTACTGGTTTCAATTCCCAGCAGGAGATAAAAAGAAAGAAAAAAGAAAGTAGAATGTTGGCTACAAGAAACTGGGGAGGTGGAGGTTAAAGTTATGCAATGGGCACAGAGCTTCAGTTTCACAAGATGCAAAGAATTTTGGAGATGGATGGTAATGAGTGATGGCTGCGTAAGATGAATGTATTTAATATTAAAGTACATGTTTAAATGGCCGAGATGTTAGATTTTGTGTGTATTTTACCACAAAATAATGGAAAAAGACACCCAAATGATATAACTGTTTCATATTAAATTTCTATTATGATTACCAATCATTTTTCCTGTACATTAAAAAATTTGGCATTAATGCCTCAATTTTACACTACTAATCAACAGTAGAAGTCCTCATTGTACTTACTCTCTTGTCCAGGAAAAACTGATTTTTTTTCTAAGACTTACCTAAACTTGTGGGCTTGATGAGAACATCAAGGACATCATAAAAGGGCAGGTTTTTTAACTGCACATCAGGATGGACAGGAGGAATTGGAGGAGATGGTTGCTGCATCTCAAAAGTGGGCTTAGTATCTTGAAGTAGCACAGAACCAACAGGAGAGGACGGTGAGTGAGATGTAACTGAAGTGGAGGGCAACGAGTGGATTCCAGCCACAGCCAGGTCAGGTTCTACAGGTGATGAGCTACTATCCAAACTGAAAACTGATGATTTGATTGCAGATAAATCAGAAAGCCCTTCAAGAGTCCGTGGATATCGGCGTCTATACAATTCTCGGATTTTAATCTGAACCGCAGGGCTGCAGCCACTCTTCAATAAATGCAGGGCCCTCATCAGGAGGTCATGCTTGCGTCCACTTTTATTCCGTCCAGCAAAGCCTAGTAACACTTGTAGTTCAGAAACTCTAAAACTAGAAACCATATTCTAAAAGGAAAGGGGGGAAAAAGCCAATAGTCATCTTCAAGCATATAAATATGTTCTCCTGTAATTTACCAAATGGCATATACGCTAGTATCCAGCACTTAGAATGGTAACATACCACTTAGAATTGTTAATATAAAGTCATCCTCCCATAAAAATTACATTCAAGTTATGCTGTTAAATTATATTTTACTGTACTCTTAATTTTGGTAATCTATACAGTCTATTGATTTCTCTTAATTACTTCTTTATGTGATTATGCTGTCATGTAAACTGTTTTAGGACTATGAACTCTATAACCAATTAAAATGTTCCTTTTCAAAACTAGACCCTCCCAATGCATAATATAATGTTTATTACAAAATTACCAACTAACCAAGCAAAAATTCGGTATTTGCAATGTTACACATGTAATTTCTGGTGCTTAGTAAATCTACCAAATAAAGTCAGAATTGTAATCTATGATTCAGTATTTTACACTAACTCAAACATTAAGAAACAGAAAAAATATGAAAACAAAGATATTTTAAAACATTAAAGCTAAAAATTACATCTTATTTAGCAGTCAAAATTATAAAATGACTAAAATTCCCATCTGGATATTCAAGAGAAAAAAAATCTTCCCAAAAGCAAGGAAATGAACAGCTATAAATCTTAAAGGGCAAGATTATCCTCCATACCACCCTACTGACTTGTTCTCAGGTATAAAACAAAGTATAAGCAGTTCCTTTTTCATACCTCACCTATTTATTCAACAAAACCTAATAAATACATCAAATCACTTGCTGCCTCATGAAATTATCCAGCTAATTGATTTTCAGTCAATTTTGAATTTAAAGGTAAATCAGGGATCAGGTTTACCCATACCACACATGTAACACCTAGTGAGAGAACGTAGGAAGCTGAAGCTGGTCCTTTTAGAAACCTCAGGAGACCTTCCGGTTACTATGGCTTGGGTTTCCCTATTCCTCCTTGTCAGTAATGCACACTTCCAAGCATGAAAGAATAGATGACTTATCCCCTTGAATAAAAGGGAACTAGTGTATAAAAACAAACAGGAATACAGAGATAAAAGCCTTAGAATTGTAAATGTGAAATCACTAGATTCTAAAGAACAGATAGGACAGTCCATACTGCAAAATGCTTCAAACACAGTCAAAGATAATGGTTTTGAGAGTCAACTAGCCCCTTTGGAAAACTTCAGGCCAGTAATCAATAGTAGTAGGTAAACCCCTGACACCAAGATTTAGGACCCTAGGAAAGTCATTTAATCCCTCTGGTCACTGGTGTCTATTTAAAAACAACAAGCCATCCCAAAAATAAAAACAAAAAGAAAAAAAAAAACAAGCCAGGCATGGTGGCACATGGCTGTAATCCTACCACTCTGGAGGGTGATACAGGAGGGGTCTTGAGTTGAGAGGCCAGCCTGGGCTACATAGTAAGTTCAAGGTTAGACTGAGCTAGCTACACAGCAACTCTCTACAAAAACCCTGTCTTAAAAAATAAATACATACAAACAAAGAGTAATACAATGACAAAAAATATTTTCTCCTTTATTTAGTGCTTATTTCCAAGGTACTGGCTAAATAAAATTCCACAGACATCTTTTCCTGGAAAACTCTAGTGAATCCCAATTCTTAAACTGATACCTGTATTTTCAACTTAAAAGTTTTCAGACCTAGATTCATATCCTTCCCTCAGTGAGAGGGTATGGTTTCAGTAGGAAAGGTGTCAAGAGCCCCTACTGAGGTAAGATTAGCTTTTTATGTTAATACTGTACTAGGAAGAATGATTTTAGGTATTTTTCTCTACCAATTTCTGATGTCTATATCTTTAGTCTAACTTTATTTTTAAAAGCAGATTTTTTCCACTGTATGCTGCCTCCCAAAAACTCCCAAAGCCTGCCTTCCAATACTTGTTACAACTGCTATTATTTTACACAGAGGAATTTCTCTATAAAAACATTAGTATTATCAATATTTTAAAGATACATAGGTCTGGGAGTAGCTCAGTAGTAGAGTGCTTGCCTAGCATGCTCAAGGCCCTGGGTTCAATCACTTGCACCACAAAAAAATAAATAAAAAGATACATAAATAATCTAAATTTTAAAATATATAAATTAAGATTAGGACTTAAAATCAACCTGTTTACCAAATTTACATAAATAAAAAATTTAAAAAGTTTTAACGCTGGAGTATTATGTAACTGAAAATCACATCCACCAACAAAGGTAAGGGCACTACATTTAGAAAAGCAAGGAAGTTATGACCCTCACATGTAACCAGTAATAAAATAAAAATATTTCCTTGAGACTGGTCTTTCTTAACATGGAAATAACAAAACATAACCTGTCATTTGGGAAAATTCTATTAGGTTAAAAATTATGGCAAAATCAATATAAATTTTGCAGATTCCCTTATCTGCTATGATTATAATACAGGGGCACAGGAGGCTACTGAGGGAAACTGACAAATCATATTAATACTGTGCATTCCAGCTGTAATACTAAAATAATCCACATCTTCATTTGTAAGAATTTTTTTAAATCCACAATATTAACATAATATGTCAAAAGTGTAACTATGCTAATGTCAGAAGAGAAACTATGTGGCTGAACTTAGCGGCACATGCCTGTAGTCCCAGCTGCTGAGGTAGGACAATCACTTGAACCCAGGAAGTTCAAGACCAGCCTGGGCAGCACAGAAAGACAAGATTCCATCTCAAAAACACACATAAATAAAGAGAAACTATGTGGCAAGTCATAAAGATACCCCAATTCCTAAATAATACTCATTTCAGAGGTCCTGGGGAACCCTCAATTCCTGGTTTACTCTTGATAAAATCATGCATTCTCTACAATTAAGTCTCCTTCTACTTGAGAGATGTTAAATGAATCTCTTCTTCACAACAGAATTATTACACACTAAAGAAATCAAAATTGAAAGTCAAATACTAAGACAAATAATAAAGAACATAATACATTTCAAAATGTGTAAAATAAGCCAAAGCTTTGGAGAATATCTTCATATTCTATTATTGTACAATAAAGACTTTAGCTAAATCAAGAAATAAAAAAGGAACAAAATAAACCAAAAAGGCAGGGCAATTAAAGGATGAAGCAAAAATATTAATTAGAAATCAAAATGCAGTCTGTAGAATCAGGACTCCCCCCCCAAAAAAATGTAGGATAAGAATGAGAAAAGGAGCATAAAAACCACAAATACTATGCAAATTTTTTGAGATTTGTATATGCAACTATGCACTAATTACATAAAGACACAGATCATGGTTTCCTAGAAAAAGAAATTATTCCAGTTCATTCAAGAGGTAGTATTATCTTGCCCACCCCTGCTCCAATCAAGAGCATTTCCCCCAGACAAGACAGTTTCATGAATAAATCCCACCAAAACTCCAAGGAAAAGATGGAATTGTTTCCTAAAGTGTACAAGACAATATAAATCAGAGTCAAATACTTACTAGAAGGTAAGGATTAAAAATGTTGAACACAAAATTTTTAAATATGGATATTGTTATTCAAATTTTAGGAGAATCCAAATCATCCATTCAAATTTTTAGGCAAAACCTGATGAAACAGTAAGACAGTAAGGAATCTGCTTGTTATGATCTGGACCTTAAAATGTCTCCCAAAGGCCATGTGTTAAAGGCTTGGTCATCATCCAGCAGCACTAATGGAAAGTGATAGAATCTTTAGGAGCTGAGAACTAGAGGAAGGAAGTTAACTCCCACTGGGGGCAGGGCCCTAAAGAAGATACTCAAACCCCAGCCCCTTTCTCTGTCTTTGCTTTCCTGCTATCGTGAAGCCAGCAGTTCTCCAACAGACACTCCGAGCCATGACATTCTGCTTCACTACAAGCCAAAATGAACTTAGAATAAAACCCTCCAAAAACATGAGCCAATATAAATCTTTCCTCCTTATGAGGGAAGGCTACTGTGGGATGCTAACAAATCACACTATTAATATTGCCTATTCCAGCTGCAATATCAAAATAATCAAGCCAGGGGATTTAGCTCCGTGATGCCACCGCCTGCCTCGCAAGTCCAAGGCCGAGTTCGATCCCTGGTACCAAGAAAACAAAAATAAAATAATCTATTCAATTTATAAAGCACTATTAGGACATAAATATGTCTGTGAATGCACACATAAAAGTTCTCAATGTACCCAGTACAATTTAATCTATGAACGTAAGAAGTAAAGTACTTGGTAAAGACAATCTCTATCCAGGGCAGGGGGTGTAGGTAGATCAGTGGCAGTGTTTACCTAGCATACCTATGTGCACATACAAAAAAGGATGACCTCTATGCTTATAACCACAAAGTACTGAGTATGTACAAAATTATATAATATATATTTCCTTTCAATTAATTTGTGGGTAGCGGGTGGGACATACAATCAAAAAGACGAGATGATAATGGTAGAGAAGTTGGGTATTGAGTACATGAACAATTTTCTATCCTTGTAAATCTAAGAATGTGTCCATAATTAAGTATTTGCTTAAACAGGGTAAACTAGGTGCAGGACACAGAGATTTTTCACTGTCTTACCTTCCAAACTTTTCTATAAATATAAACATATTATAAATTTAAATTAACAAAAAATTATGAACACAAAGTAGGAGAAAAAAAGATTGTGATCTAAATACCAGTTCCCATAAAAGGAATGCAGGCACCTTGGGGAAGTGGCTGGTTGTAGATCTGAGGAAGAAAATCCACAAGATGAACCTGGAATATTTTATCATACCAGAAAACAAAGAAGTTATCTAAACCACTAGATCTTTTCAGAAGAATACAAGAAAACATCTACCATGGTATCCTAGTAGCACAAGATGAGACAATTTGAACATCAAAAAGAACAATTAATGCTATGGATTTAAACATTAAGTATGTAATAAAATTTATTCATAATATCATTTAAAAGCCATAATGATCTCCTTTACAGGATGTCAGGGAAACAACACATTATTATTCTGAAAACTGAGAAAGAG